CTCCCATCAATAGGCCAAGCACCAAATCGGGCTGATATGTTTTTCTCTTGAGGGTTTTTTTTATTAAAAGGGTTGGGTAGCTCCCCACTTTCAGACAGATAGCTAATTTAAAAACAAGAACAAAAAACCCCTCATATTTGCAGAGCTGCATAATGTAATGTGTAGTTTCCAAAACAAATTTAAGCCAGTGTTACTGCTGCTGTCATGAACATGTATTAAGTTTGGTGCATATCTTAGAATAGAGGAGAAGTGTAACCACAACAGCTGTGCATAAATCAAAATTTTATACATTGAATGGTGTACATAGGCACGTTTGAGATTTGAAAGCTTTCCATTCCAGATCATATGGTATGGTAAAGAATGCTTTTATAATATAAACAATTATTGCCAAAAGCTTGAAGATTCAAATCTTACATAGCATATTTATTTTAAATAGGCCATACTGAAAAGCTAAATTCAAAAATTCAGACTCATCTTTGAGGTTGCATCAACTGTACATCAAATGAAAGACCTACATTTCAAGGCATCAGAATACTACGAGTGGGTTCAGCTGAGGACCACATGCAGCCCCTAAGCATCAGCATCCTGATTCTAACTTGACTCAAACCGTTTCAGACCTTTGGGAAATGAAATCATAGGCTTTTGTCAATCTGGTACAGCAAACACATTATGAAGTCTGCACTAGGGACAGGCTCTGTGAAAAAGACTGTGGGGTGGAGAAAAGAGGCACATCATGCCTATTCTCCCAGTGGGGGGCTTTTCATGGGCCACGGCCACATGCACAAGTGACCACACGCAAAATCCTTCAAGGCTGACAGCAACGGCTTCTCCATGAGAGGTACCAAGCACAGCAGAAGATCAGGGGATGATGAAATCCTAGGACAAGGGGATCAGGAAGACAGCTTCCAACGGCCACATGCACAAGTGACCACACGCAAAATCCTTCAAGGCTGACAGCAACGGCTTCTCCGTGAGAGGTACCAAGCACAGCAGAAGATCAGGGGATGATGAAATCCTAGGACAAGGGGATCAGGAAGACAGCTTCCAAGGGGAAGGAGGATTTAAGCTTGGCCTTCAGGCATGGGCAAGACCACCATGGCTGAGGCACATGCTAGGCAGAGGGGCCGGATGGAAGAGTAAAAGCCTAGAGACTTGGGGGGTGGGGTGGGGGGTTAAGAGTGGACGACAGGGTGAGGGAAGAGGGGTCTGAGAGAAGGGATAGAGACAGCCCATCATGTCTGCCAGGCTGAGGACTCTGGACTTCAGTATCCATCACAGAGGACTCACTGAAGGTATCTGAGGAGGGGCATGATGTGATCAGAGCCACATTTTAGGTAGAGAAGACAGAAGGCTGACATGCAGAGAGAGATAATGGAAAGATGGGGGCATGTTCAAGAGAGAATTTGGAAGTAAAAATAACAGGGCTTGGTGACTGGATTTTAGTAAGGAGCAAGCAAGGGAGGGGGTAAGTCATAGCCGACTATCCTCCCCTGCTGTAGCGTGTCCAGCCTGGGAGAGGCAGCAGGGTGACGGTCCATGAGTATCCCACAGCGAGCAGGCAGGGCCAGGCTTTGGTATCAGGCTGCTGGCACCAGGGGCTCAGCCCCACTCAGGCCTTCCCTTCACATGTCCATGAGCACCTCTAGGGGAACCATTTCAGGTGAGTGAGAAGGAGAGGAGAAAGGCAGGGAGAGGGAGGGACAGAGAGGAAGGGAGGGAGGGAAAGAGATCCTGTAGAAGAGGGTCTACCATGGCATGTCCCCAAAGCAGCAGCAGCAGCAACTCACCACACCACTCTGGGCCTGATCCTGCAAGTGAGAGTGCTGTGGCTGGGTGATCCTTTTTTCAAAACTCCTGAAGCATAGCTTTGAACTGAAGGCACATAGCCTGCTCTGTAGTCTCCCCAATAACTGAGGGGGTAACACCTGTGCAGACAGCCTGTCTAGCCCTGGAATGCACCAAACCCCTTCAGGACTCCAGGCCTTTGCATTTGCTGTTCCTGTTGCCTGAAACAGTCTTCCCCCACCCCCAACTTTATTTGGTGCTGACTAAAAGCCTGGCACTATTCTAAATACTTTACATATATCAACTCATTTAATCCTCACAACAACCCTATCAAGTAGGTACTGTTAATATCCCCAGTTTACAGATGAAGAAAGCCCAGACAATCAAATAACCTGATGGTGGAACATATTTACTTAGCAGAGGGGCCAGTGTTCAAATGCAGGCAGTGTGGCCCCAGAGTCTGCATTCTCATACACAAAGCTGCCTCTTATAGGGCTGCACTGGCTTCCTCCAGCTCCACGCATGACTGGCTCCTTCTCTGCTGTAGCTCTCAATGACTCTGGCCAGCCTTCCCTGACCACCCTCAAATGGAGCCCCCAGCCCCCATTACTTTCTTTCGCATTAACCTGCTTATTTCTTTTCCGGCCCTTAGCACAATCTGTAATTACCTTATTTCTGCACTTACTTGTTTATTATGATTCTCTGACTGGAATATAAACTCTAGGAAGGCAGGGACCTTGCCTTTTGTTCCAATGTATTCCTGAGTCACCTAGAACTCTCTGGCACATATTAGGTGCCAAGTGAATAAATGAAGGACCGCGGATGCTGCATAGTGCTACAGAGTCATAAGGCATTGCAATGCTGTTCTTCACCTTTCTGTCCTATTCTTCTTTGACCACTGCAAATCCCCAGCATCCTACACTAAGGCAAAAGGAAGCCAGTGCCCAGTTCCCAGCATATATGAACAAAGCTGATATATTTATAACTGTGTCTGACTGTCAAATCCCCCCCACCTGGGTCCTTGAGTACATAGTGATAAGCTTGTGGGAGGCAGGGATGGAGTCTTCTGATGAACCCATCTGTGGCCTCCCACCACCTAACAGTGTTTACAGGGCACTGGCCACTGTTGATGTATCTGATCTGAGCACCTTCCAAATAACAAAAAGACCCTGCCCCTTGAATCAGGAGGCACCTTGAGTAAACATCACACGAACCCATCTGTGGCCTCCCACCACCTAACAGTGTTTACAGGGCACTGGCCACTGTTGATGTCAGTATCTGATCTGAGCACCTTCCAAATAACAAAAAGACCCTGCCCCTTGAATCAGGAGGCACCTTGAGTAAACATCACATTGTCATGGGAACGCCATCCTGGTGGGTCAATGCACATGCTAAAACAAAAGCATCATTTATATACTCCAATGGTGCCTAGCAACATTTATTGAGCTTACCCATGAATGCACTGATAAAAAGAACCAACTTTTATCAAACACCTATTATATGCAAACAACCTGTTAGGCACATTTACAAATGATCTCATTTAATCTTGTGGGTTTGTAATTACCACTCTCCTTTTACAAATGAGAAAAGCCAGACTCAGGAAGCCCAATGTCCCAAAGCCAGTGAAGATTCAAGCCCAGGTTCAGAGCCTCCTGAACCTCTTCCCACTGTCCTTTGCTCTGTTCTGCCTTTTCTTGTACTTCCACCAAATTCATTGTTCATCTGTGTCCTGTGTTTTCCTAGCTCTAAGCCTTTACTTATCCCAGTTCCTTGACCTAAAAATGGCCTTTCCACTCCTTCCCACCTGCTAAAATCCTTTCTTCCTTCCATCTTCGTTGTGCAGGCTTCTTCAGTTTCTCCAACTGGAATACACCCTCCTCAGTGTTCTGAGAGATGCCAGGTGATAAAGCCCAGAATGCCCTGTGGTATAACCCTCTTTATTGCTCACTAGAACCTGAGCTCCTTGAGGGAAGGGCCTGTCGGTAATTTTCATGTTTGTTTCCCCCAAATGAGTAGTGAGAAAGTGCTTGCTGGATCACTAGAGAATGAGGAGGGAAATGACTGGTGGCATTTGTATGCATCTGAGAGCTAAAAGGCTGTGGAAAAGTTAACCTCAAGTACAGAGTATCATTTGGGAAAGGCAAACTTACATACCACAACTCTGCTCCAGTCACAAAGCACACTCTCACTAGCCCTCTGATTTCATAAAGCNAAATAAAATAATAAAATCACTTCCATGAGAATCCTATCATAGTAATGCCTTTCACCCACACACTGGGGACACACTAATTGCAGCACGAGGGGAACAAGATATTGGGTAAAAGAACAAAGTTCAACTTCTAGCATGTCCCAGTTAACTATCGCATGCTTATTTTGCTGGGGCTGCACCAGAATTCCCCTGTCCTGGAAAATATGTACTCGCAGAACTATAGGACTCTCAGCCAACGCATTGAACACCCTCCAAAGGATGCCCGATTTGGAGTGATTATAATGGTCTTGATTGGAAAACATCTCAACCATTGCTTTAGACTAGAAACAAGTAAATGCTGGCCTCTATGTCAGGACCCCTAGAATGGTGCATTACTTTTTTCCCAACCATTTTGAGGTTTTTACAAAAATAATCAACTCACAAACAGAAACGCTTCCTGATCTATAAGCCACTTTGAAAACAAATCATTATGCTGTTGAATATTTTATGATGGTCCAAAGCACTGAAGGAGGGAAGGCAAGCATTTACCAATACTTGCCATGTCTATTTTGGGACTCCCGAAGCAAACTGCAAATACCTCCTTTATTTTCTAAATGTCCATTTACAAGTGCTAGACGGATTCTTGGTGAAACATTGCCTCCACCCAGACTGACCCTAAATGCAGAGACCCAGAGGTTCCACTTCTCCAGAGCTTACATCTGAAGGACCTCAGCGAACATCTCTACTTCCACCCTATTTTATAGGCAGCAAAACCAGTGGGGGACTCGACCAAGGTTACACAGCCGGTGGGTAGCGGAGGAGCCACCTAAAGCCATATCTCCAAACTCCCAACCCTAGGAGCACTCTATACTCCCAGAGGTTGACTCGATAGCCCTCCTAAAGTTCAGCCAAAGCTGCTGCAGGTTAGCGGCGTGACCCCCGGGATGGACTTCTGTGGGCCCCAGCGTTCCTTTCCACCTCCAATGAGCCCTGGAGCTCAGACACTTAGGGGTGCCCCTCTACTCACACAATAGCAATATAGGCATGGCGCTTCGGCTGATTGTCCCTGGTGAACCCTCCTGATCCAGGTGTGGCCGTCGAGATCGGGCAGGGAGGGTTGGTCTGAGGTCACTCGGAAAGTTGGCGCTGGCCACGGCTGCACCTGAACCCAGGTCTCCCGCCTCCCAGTTTGCAGCTCTTTCCACTAACTACACTATGCAGATCTCGGAAACTTAAGCAACACATCGATACTGTGTCAAGATTTAACCGTTGCATGTCCTGAGCTGTCCGAGGACGCGCCCCCGCGCCAGGAGTGGGGACACGAGGACGGGAAGCGGGCGCATGTCAGCCGAGGCCGGTGGTGCAGGCGGAGCGCACGGCGGAGGGCGGCGCGGAGGTGGCCGAGGGGCAGGCAGCCTGCAGCTCCCGGCGGCGCAGGCCCGGGGTGTGAGGACCAGCGGTCCCCCCAAAACTTTGCGGCGCCAGGACCTCGCCCTTACCTGCAGAGGAGGTGCCGCCCGCGCGGACGCGGACCTGGCGGGCTGACGCTCTTGGCGAGGGGCGGCCCC